ATCAACAGCTACACCAGTCTTTTCAAGAAAGGCTTTGAACTGCATTGTCCCAAATGCAGATATTGTGTGACACACAGTTTACTCGAAACAGTGGCATATTAAGAGACATGAACCAACTTCTTTAAAACCTAATAAATGTATGGTATAAAGAACTGACTTATTTTGGGTGGTAACAACTTAAGGCTTTGAAATGAAGGGGAGAGAGGGAAGTTTCATCAGCCTTCTTGATCCAAAAGGAGACAACAATAAACCAGCACCCCACCCTGAGATCTCTGCCACCCACCCACCCACACCCACACAAACAGCTGGAGAGAGGGATGAAGAAGGAAAGTGAATCAAGTCAGGTGTGGCAACGTTTAGGGAGGTTAACCTGTCGCTTCAGGTGACAGAAAATACTCCAGAGACTGAGAGGAGAGCACACTGTGCCACAAACCTCTTAGTGCTCCCTGGGGGGACGGGAAGACCCCATTCATGTTTCCTCAGGTGTCACAGGGAATCTATACCACCACACGGCGAGTGGGGGGGGGCTTACAGCGAGAAGCCCCTTCCCACTTTTAAAAAAATCATTTATCTAGTCTAAGAAGAGTTTGATGTAAAGTTGGGGGATGGAGGAGAGGAGTCCGGCCTTGGCTCACCCAGAGGACCAGGCACGCCCAACCACATGAAATGCGACCCTCGGCCTCCCCAATACAACCACGCCTGAAAGAACACCTGCCACTGTCCCTGAACCCCATACCCTTGACTCGCGCAAAAAAAATATTTAAAAAATGACACGTGAGCGGTCCAGATTCATCAGAAGGCACCCTCAGCCTACCCTGTGCTCGGGCCACGGGGCGGGAGGAGGAGGACGGTCCCCACGCGTTGCTGGAGTCTCGGACCCCAACCGCCTCCCTCCAAACTCTCCCCCACCGTCCGCCAAGCAAAGGATATGGCCACTCCGTGATCCTCTTGGCATACTTGCGGATCACGTTGTCCTCGCTGAAGATGAAGAGGGAGCGGTTGACAGTGAAGCAGTTCTGCTTGACCGGGATGGGGTTGTAAATTGCCATGGTCCGGGCCCGCTGGGCCTTAGATTGTTTGTACACCTGGGGTCGCTGGCCGGGCTGGCCCGGGGGTCCTTGGCGGCTACTGCCGCGGCCTCCGCCGCCCACCACCGGCCCGCCGCCGCTGCCGCCGCCGCCACCCGCGCCACCACCTCCATAGCGGCTGGGTAGGTCGTCTCCGAAGCGAGCCATAGTGCTCCAAGCGCGTCGCAGCACTCCAAGCTGGCAGCCGAGCCGCGAGGAGGAAGACGCATCCCAGCGCCAGAGGAGGAGGGAGGGAGCGAGGCTCACTGGGTTGCCGCCGCCGCCGCCGCTGCTGCTGCTGCGATCCTGGCGAAGCTTGGCTGGCTGCGGCTGGAGCTTGAAGGCAGCAAAAGGAGGACGAGGCGGTTAAGCAGCTGCTGCTGCCGCCGCCGCCGCCGCCGCCATGCAGGGGCGAGGCTCGGCGAGAAGGAAGGAGAGGAGGAGGAGAAGGAAAAGGAAAAGGGAGGGAGCCGTCAAGCGATGGAGGTGAGGGCGAGGCTCAGTCCTTTGAGGAAGGGCTCAACTTCCCGCAACGGCCCTTTTCAGGTCTCGCCCGTGGCTTTTCGTAGGAGGCACGAAGGGCTTCCCCTCCCGAGGCTCAGCCTGCCTGATCCGCCGGCGCCCTGGGGTTATTCATTCTCTGTTTCTTTCTTTTTTGCACCGGCAGGGTGAAGGAGGATAAAATCTTGTGCTTCTGGGGCTTCTTCCCTTTATTGCTGGGTAGAGAAAACGGGGATGAGGCAGAGACGGGGCAGCAGCTGCGGCTGCCCCGCTCTTCCTCCTCCTCCAGGGCTTCCTCTCTCCAAGATCTCCAGCCTTGGAGAAAACGAAATGAAAGCGTCAAGAGCAACCGGTTTGTGAACCTCGCCCCTCCACACTCACACACACTCGCACACGCGAGCGCACAAAAAGCCCAGGCAGCTGACTGCCGGGTAGCCAATCACCGGCGCCTACTCCACCCAGCGCTACAAGGATTCCCAGCCAAGCCCCGTATCAATCAGCAGGGAGGGGGAGAGGAGGGGAGACGCCCCTTCCCAAGGGCTTGGTGTCCAGAAAAGGGGCGGATTGGGCTGGCTGGCGGGAGTGGGTTGCTAACGCTTACGAGCAAAGCGCCAGGCTTCTAGGCATTTTCAGCCTAAGCAGAGAAGGTGGTTGATGAGCTCTATTGATCGTAGGAGAGGAGAAAGTGTGGGGCGAGCGAGCGGGGGGGCTGCGAGCGTATCGGGTTCCTGGCTTGCTTGTTAGACCGGGCGCCAGGGAGGCGTCCCGCCAACGTCGGTGGCGGCGAAGTTCATTGTGCGAGAAAAGAAAGGCAGGCAGCGAGGCGGCCGCGTTCCTCTTGCGCTAGGAGCTGTCCAGGTGCTGAAATCAATGTTGGAGGCGCAAGCCAGCTCTGCAGGGTAGCTACATTAGACAAGAGTGGGATATCGACTTAGTTTGGGCCAGTGCTGTCTGCGATTTCGATTAGCAACTACTCCCCAGAGTCTCTCAAGATGAGGGTCGCCTTCCCAGTGGAGTCTGGGCTTGAGGGAGAATGGGGCACTGCCCGACCAATCTCAGCCTGCCCTCACCTGCTTGCCTTATTACAACCACCATGAACTGGCTCTGCCTCTCATTGGCTCCCGCTCCACCTTCTGTTGGCCTCCCTGACTGCACACCCACCATTCCCGATAGGCACAGCCACCCTCCCTACCTCGTCCTGCCTAGGCAAGCTCTGGAGCTAGTTCAGTGGCCCACCTGAGACTCTCAGCTTAAAAGTCTGCAGGCAACGTTTGTCCTGCACAGAGGAGACCCGCTTTAATTAATTGCCATAAGTTAGTCGTACTCAGTGGGTCTATTCTGAGTAGGACTAGTATTGAAGACAACACAATGACAGCCAGATATTGTTGGACTCCAACTCCCATCATCCCTGACCACTGTCCATGATGACAATTGGAAGGCACTGAGTGGGCTACCTTTGGGCCAAGGGGTTGCCTGGCATGCAACAAGAGACCCAACAAGAGACCCACACATGCAAACAGAACAATGCCCTTCTGTTTCAAGCTGCTGGAATAAATTTCCTTTCCTCCTGCTTGGACCACCTTCAGAACTGTGCATAGGGCAAAGAGATAAGATACAGCCCAAGTTAGTTAGTTAGTTAGTTATTTTAGAATTCTTGAAAGATGAGTTTTTAAATTAATAGCAACTATATAACTGCAAGTGTATTTGCAGGATTCATGCAAGATCCCCTTCACAAAGCTACAATTCCCAAGAAACTCAGAAAATTACAGCTGTGTGAGAGAGGGAAACCTAGGTCTCCTGCCAACTTTCAGCATCTTTGACAAACTGCACTTCCCAGGGTTCTGTGGGGGAAGCAATGACTGCTTACAGTGCTATCATAGTGCAGACGGGCCCCAAGATTTCGATCCTATACATCTGAGAGTGGGCCCCATTGAACTCTGTGGAATTTACTTTTAAGTAGATATATATAGGACTGTTCTTTCATGTTGCAATCCTTTGTGCACACAAGTGAGAGTACAGTACATTCCATTTAACTTGGTAAGGCTTCTGAGTATTCACGGATCAGCTTGCACTGTTGGTTGTATATGATTCATTGATTTATGGCTGCAATCCTCACTTTCCTGGGAGCAGGCCCCATTGAATTCAACAGGACTTCCTTCTGAGTTGACATGCATAGACTTGCAGCTTGAGGTTTTGATAATCAGGTGCCACTCCCATAAAATGGGAGTTCAAACAGATTACAAATTAAAATATATTAGTTTTCCCAAACTGATAAATTCAGTAGGAAAGGGAAATTAGAAGAGGCACATTCAGCAGAAAGAACAATGCAGTAAGCAGTGATATGTGCATGACTCTGCAGTTTTTTGAAAAATAACTTTTTTAAGCTTATGGTGATATTCCTTATGGCACTACTGAAACATACTGATTGCACTCCCTCATTTTTAGATCTATGTTTGTAGAATGCTCACATCAAGAATTGGCGGTGCCCTTTTGTTTCACAGATTGTTGCTACTGGTTCAGGTCCAATGCCAGGTATGGGAAGCATAGGAGCCAACTCCTAAGGGCCATGGGACTTTGATCCCCATAATAAAATATTTGAGTGGTCCAGGACTCCACAAAGTTGATAGGTATTCCCATTCAGATGGTGTGTATGCACTGTGTCATGAGATGGATTATGTCAGGCAGGGCTTACCTCGGCCCCCACAATATTTTATTCAAGTTGGCACCCCTCATGGGAAGCCTCGGGTTGAGGACCAAATGTCGCCCTCCAAGTCTCCTCCTCTGGCCCTTAGGTCTCTCCCCTCCAGAACACATTCCCTTCCCAGGCCCCATCTGACCTGTTGTGCTTCACTTTCTCCTTGAATGTTTTTGCCTGACTGGAGTGTGTTCTTGCTTGCTTCTTGCTTGCCTGGATGGAGGGCAGATAGCTTACTGTATGAAAACAGTACGAAAACTGTATGAAAATTTGCCTTCATTGCTCAACCTACTTTTGCCTCTGCCCCCACCCACCAGTGACGTGTGGCCCTTGGAATGTTGTCTAGAAGAGAATATGGTCCTCGGGGTAAAAGGGGTTCCCAGAACTGCCATAGGCAAAGGCAAAAGTCAAAACAATTGAACTGAATTTTATCCTTCCAAAAGGGATATTTTCATCTAAATCTTTGATACTTGGTAATTATGTTTTTGGCTTTCTTCCCCCCCCCCCCCGATTTTAATGATTTCAATTTCTCTGTGTTTGAAGATTTGTTTGTTCTCAATCCATTGTGTTTGCTGCTGGTTCATGTTTTTGTGATTAGTCATTAAGCTTTGAGCAAGGAGTATAGCTTTTCAGCATAGACTATTGTCTTTCATGTACATCTATATTTTTTATTATTTTTCTCCTGTGAGAAGGCTGATTGCTAGCACGCTAAATACATTCATTAAGCCAGCATCTAACCCTGGGGCAGCCATTTGTCACCTAACAAGCTGATTCACAGTGTGCTTCAGTAGCTCAGAATGATCTCGCTCAAACTCTGGAGCCCAAAATGCCACATAACAGTACCTAGAACAAAATAGAAAGTAAAGTGTTGATCTATTGTTCCTTAATTCCCAAATTACCCCACCTAGCTACAAAACTAAAGATTAAGCCACCCATTAATTTATAGCAAGAGTGAGGAACCTCACCCAAACGTGGCCCTCCAGGCCCTTTTACCTGGCATTCAGGCATTCTCCCCAGACCACACCCTTCTTCAGCCATACTTCACATATTTTTGCCTGGCTTCACAAGTGTTTTTTCCTGGCTAGAATACACCTTTGAACTCTGATGACAACTCTTGCTTGCCTGCAGGAATGATAGAGAGGTGTGTGTAGCACTAGTCTATTCTACAAAGGCAAAATAAGTATTCATTGTCCCATATACTTTTGCCCCTGGCCATGCCCCCCACGGTATGTGGCCCCCTAGAAGGTTGCTCAGAAGTGAATGTGGCCCTTGAAATGAAAAAGCTTCCCCACTCTTGATTCATTAAGGCCAGTATAATGAACTCTTGGTGCCCTGCGGGAGGCAGTGGAGGACAGAAGTGCCTGGCGTGCTCTGGTCCATGGGGTCACGAAGAGTCAGACATGACTAAACGACTAAACAACAACATAATGAACTCAGTTGCTCATACTAATACTACACATCACCATCCCTATCCCTCAGGGCCAGCCCACCCATGAGACAAGGTGAGGTGGCCACCTTAAGCAGTAGAATCCACAGGGGTGGCAGATCCAGCCTCCAATGAATGCCAAATTGCCCGCTTCTGCTGCTGCCATGGTGCCAGTGTCAGCTGCAACACCATTCCTTGAGGGCCAGATCTGCTGCCTCCTTGGCAGCCCCTGCTCCCAATACCACCTCTACAGTGACCTCTTGGTGAATAGGAGGCAATGCTGGTCTCGTCCCACCCCGTTCCCACATGTTTATCTTTATTTATTTATTTCCCCCCATGTTTCTGATGTGCGTCGTCACTCCCCTCTTCTTCACTGGTGAGGGGTGTTTGCACCATTTTGTGGTTTGACTCAGGTGCCAAACTGTCTTTGGCTGGCCCTGCCATCCCTTCTATTTCCAATGTTCAGGTTTTGAGTGCCAGTGATTTTGTAGAAATGGCACTGCACATCTTTTTTGTGAACAGCTTTGAGGGCTGTTGTTCTTTTTTAATCAAGCAGTATAAAAATCTTATGCAATAAATAAATGGGTGAGCACCAACTGGGCAGCCCCCAAAATGTAGCATCAGCAGATTTTGGAGGATACCAGTGTTCAGAGAACTACACAAAATAAATAGGGGGAAAGCCCTAAGCAGTGGGGGGACTATGTCTGCAATGTGCCTGATTTCAACAAAGGAGCAGAGCATACAGAGGTCTCTGAATGCTTTGGGCTAGTGATAATTGGTTCCATTTCTATTCCACTCCTGTATCCAAGACGTTCATGGAGTTCTTATTTTACTTAAGCTAGGCTGAAGAGAGTGACCTGCCTCATGTCACCCAGGTTTCCCCATTCCAAATTCAGCAATGATTCAGGAGCTACTGTCATCTGGAATTCTAGATGTACCACATTTTTCTACACCTTACTTTGCTGTCAAGATAGACCCACATTGGGGCTTACAAATAAAAACCAAACAAGGGTACAATGTTATTGGGGATATGTACAGAGGTGGGTATGGAGGCTTTCTGGTTCCAGGCAGTTAGTGATGCAGTCCGGGTTCCAGTTCTTCCCTTTAGATCAGGAGTGGGAAACCTGTGTCCCTCCAGATGGTGTTGAACTCAAGCTCCCATCACAGCAGCATACAACACGCCCAATGATTAGGGATTCTGGGAGTAGCCATCCAGCAACACCTGGAGGCCACAGCCTCCTCACCCCTGCTCTAAGAAGCAGAACTCCCTACTGTATGGCAGAGATGAAGGAATGTCTAGAATATTACCGTATTTTTCACTCTATAAGACGCACCAGACCACAAGACGCACCTAGTTTTTGGAGGAGGAAAACAAGAAAAAAAATATTCTGAATCTCAGAAGCCAGAACAGGAAGAGGGATCGCTGCGCAGTGAAAGCAGCAATCCCTCTTGCTGTTCTGGCTTCTGTGATAGCTGCGCAGCCTGCATTCGCTCCATAAGACGCACACACATTTTCCCTTACTTTTTAGGAGGGGGAAAGTGTGTCTTATAGAGCAAAAAATACGGTAATTCCCTCTAGAGAGGGGGGGGATGCTTCTTAGAAGGGGGATGAGGAACCTGGTTCCTTCCAGATACTTTTGGACTCCAACTCCCATCGACCCCAGCCAGCATGGCCAAAACTCAGAAATGATGTGAGTTGTAGTCCAGGAACATCTGGAGGACTATAGGTTCCACATCCCTATTGTACAGCATTGGCACTGCCAAAATATCAGACTCAATCAACCCAGACACTCAATCAACCAGGAAAGAGGGACATTCAATCAGTTGGCCATTTCCTCTCCCCAGGTCACACAATCAACTGATCCTGCTCCATGTCCTCCTCCCATGTTTCTGTTTGGCTGGAATGTTTTCTTGAACCATGAGAATGTCTCTTACTTGCCTGGATGGAGATATGTACTTATATGGCAATGAGGGGGAATTATGACTCTTTAGATGTTGCTGGACTCCAACTGCCATCAGCCCCAGCCAGCAGGGCCAGTGGTGTGGAATGATGGGAGCTGCAGCATCTCAGGGTTCCCAACTCACAAGGGAGATCACCTAACCCCTTAGATGCCCAATTGATCACTATGCTCTGTGGGTGAGGTCTCCTGCAGATGTCATCTTATCAGGAGGTCAATCCTGCACAAAATAGAAAATGGATGTTTAATGTTGTGGCATCCGCTGTTTGGAATTCCCTTCCATTAAATATTAGACAAACACTCTATCTTTTGTCTTTTGGGCACTTACTGAAGACCTTCATTTCCAACAAGACTTTTGAGATTTTTCACAGTCTGGATTTGTACTGGAATTGTGTGTGCGTGTTAAAATAATATTTAAAGCAATTCCAATACATATATATATATATCTGACACCATATTTATGCAAATGCTAATAACACACTGGAGGTATAAGTTAGCAAAAGCAGATAAGACCCACATTATTTTGGTTCTGTTCCAAGATGAAGACATTTTGGAAGGAGCTGGAAAATGAGATTGAAATGATAACAGGTTACAGACTACCACTAGATCCCCTAATTATACCCTTTGGCTTTGAAAAAGACTTGGTGCTGCTAGTAGATATACAACTACATCTTTTAACAGCTGCTCATGTTAATGAAAGCAGACTGGAAGAACCTCAGTGATGGAGGAATAGATTGTGAAACTTTGGGATATAGTATATATGCTTAAATTATCAAAAGGGGTTAGATATGATAGGAGAAAAAACAATTTGTTTATGGAGTAGTGGAGCAAGCCTTACATGTTTTTAGGTTTATTGGAAGATTTATTACAATAGATGCAGCGATCCTTTTCGTTTCTGGATATCTAAGAACATCAGAAGAGAAGAAGAGGAGGAGGAGGAGGAGGAGGAGTTTGGATTTGATATCCCGCTTTATCACTACCCGAAGGAGTCTCAAAGCAGCTAACATTCTCCTTTCCCAACACACACTCTGTGAGGTGGGTGGGGCTGAGAGACTTCAAAGAAGTGTGACTGGCCCAAGGTCACCCAGCAGCTGCATGTGGAGGAGCGGGGAAGCGAACCCGGTTCCCCAGATTACGAGTCTACCGCTCTTAACCACTACACCACACTGGCTCTCAGAGCCTTTGTGGATCAGGCCAATGGCTCATCCACTCCAGCACCCTATTCTCACAGTGGTCAGCCAGATGTCCCAGTGGGAAGCCTGCGAGCAGGACCTGAGCACAAAAGCCCTCTCCCCACCTGTGATGTCCAGCAACTGGTATTCAGAAGCATTACTGTCTCAGAAGACCTTGGAGACAGAGCATAGCCATAGAGGCCAGGAGCTATTGACATGCATTTGTCATGCATTTGTCCTCCATGCATTTGTCCCATCTTAAGCTATTCACATGCATGATGCCTTAATAAAGATTGGAATAATAATAACAGTAATACTTTTCTTCTTTTGTAATTTCTAGTTTTCTGCCCTGAGCTCCTTTGGGAGGAAAGACAGGACATAAATTTAATAGCCAAACAAACAAACAAACAAACAAACGTGATTTCCTATTCTATAAGCAGGTGGTCAAAAAGTCCCTCCCTCTTCGCCTTTCCTGCCTCTGAAGTGCCTGTCTCCACAAGTCCAGAATCTAAATATGAACCCAGGAGGTAAAGTTTCAGAGGCAGAGCCGTAGCAGCGCATTTCACAGCCCTCAGCCCCCTCACCTTGCAGCTGCCGCGACAATTTCATTGTCCTCTAGTGCCCTCTATGTCAGCGCGAAGAGCATCAACATGTTCTTCCCCTTTTCCCTCCATTCAGACGCTGGCTCAGCTCACAAAGCAGGCAGCTGCTTGTTCTTCCCCCTCCTTTCCCCTACTCCGGAAGAGCAGCCATGGAGCAGAAAGGAGATGAGGGCTTTCAATGGCTTAATGAGGAGCAGACGAGACCCAGTCACAGGCGAGGCTCATGCGGGAGGCACAGTTCTGGGCTGGCTGGGGAAAGAAAAGCGAAAATCAATGGATCTTGTTCTCTCACCATTGAAGCGATGTGCAAAACAAGTGTCGTTTATCTCATACCTGTATTAACCAGTTGCATATTTAAGGCCCTTGACTTATAATCAAAGAATTATAGAGTTGGGCAGGATGCCCAAAGGTCATTTAGTCCAACCCCCTACAATGCAGGAGTCACAGCTAAAGAATCCCTTGCAGATGGCTATCTAACCTCTGTTTGAAAACCTCCTGCGAAGGAAAGTCCTCCACCTTTGGAGGTGGCCCATTCCACTGTTGAACAGCTCTTATTGTAAAAAGGTCTTTACTAATGTTCAGTCAGAATCTCCTTTCTTATAATTTGAATCCATTAGTTCAAGTCCAACCCTCTGGAGCAGCAGAAAAAAAGCTTGATCAAAGTTCTTGGGAGGCATTTTTTAAGAATATCAGAAGAGCCTTCTGCATGAGGCCAAGACCCCTCTAGTCCAGCATCCTGTTCTCACAGTGACCAACCAGATGCCTGTGGGAAGCTGAAAAGCAGGACTTGAATGCAAAAACACTCTTCCCACTTGCAGTTCCCAGCAGCTGGTATTCAGAGGAATACTGTCTCTGACAGAGGCAGAACATCGCCACTATGATTAGTAATTATTATTAGCCTCATCTTCCATGAATTTATCTAATGTTCTTTTTAAACCATCTCAGTGGGTGTCCATTACTCCTCTTGCAGAGACATCATTATACTTTGGGGGAAAAGTGCTTCCTTTTGCCTGTCCTGGATTTCCCAGCATTCAACTTCAATGAATGGCCCTGAGTTCTAGTATTCTGAGAGAAGCACAAAACTTATTACCAAATAGGTAAAGGGACTCCTGATCACTAGGTCCAGTCATGGCCAACTCTGGGGTTGCGGCGCTCATCTCGCTTTATTGGCTGAGGGAGCCGGTGCACAGCTTCCGGGTCATGTGGCCAGCATGACTAAGCCGCTTCTGGAGAACCAGAGCAGCGCACGGAAACGCCGTTTACCTTCCCGCAGGAGCGGGACCTATTTATCTACTTGCACTTTGACGTACTTTCAAACTGCTAGGTGGGCAGGAGCAGGGACCGAGTAATGGGAGCTCACCCCATTGCAGGGATTCGAACCGCCGGCCTTCTGATCGGCAAGCCCTAGGCTCTGTGGTTTAACCCACAGTGCCCCCCCGCATCCCCCAAAAATACAGTTAAAGTGCAGGTGAAGGACAACCAAGAGAAATACCTGGAGCACTGTAGTTCTTCCTAGTGCAGAACTTTTTTCTCTGCCTCTTCGTTGACAGCTTAGGATGCCCCTCTTTACCCTGTGGGAGGGTTGATGCTTGCAACCAGGAGAAGGGAACCGATAGTCTAGACCAGGGGTGTCCAACATCCAAGAGACTGCGATCTACTCCCACTATAAATAAACTGGCAGTGATCTACCCATTGGATTGACCATGGTTGTTGAGCTTTTTGGGGGGAGGATGACCAAAATTGTTGAGTCCAGCAGGTCATCCTCATCCCCTCGTCCCCCACAGCCAAGACATTGCATAAATTAAGACTGACTCATTACTATTGCATTGAAATAGATAAGAGATCATGAGGGACATTGTAAATGGGTGTAGGCTACCTAGAAGGGAATGTGGCCTTTGGCCTGAAGAGGGGCTCCCTACCCAAGGCTGACCCTTATAAGAACTACTAAAGCCCTCTTCAGGCATTCACCTCCGCTTTGGCTTCTGGCCCCACTTACTGCCTGCATGTGGCTCCCAAAAGGCTGCTTATAAGGGAATGTGTCCATCCATCAGTGGGGGTGGGGATATCCACTGGGGCTATCTAAAATAATAATAAATTATCCACACCCCCATCATTCTGCCCGGACACTGAGGTCCAGCACCAAGGGCCTTCTGGCGGGTCCCTCATTGTGAGAAGCTAAGCTACAGGGAACCAGGCAGAGGGCCTTCTCGGTAGTGGCACCTGCCCTGTGAACGCCCTCCCACCAGATGTCAAAGAGAAAAACAGCTACCTGACATTTAGAAGACATCTGAAGGCAGCCCTCTTCAGGGAAGTTTTTAATGTGTGACATTTAAAGGTATTTTTAATCTTTGTTGGAAGCCATCCAGAGTGGCTGGGGAAACCCAGCCAGATGGACAGGGTATAAATAATATATTATTATTATTATTATTATTATTATTATTATTATTATTTGCATGGCTTCCGCCTTTGTATCTTTACCTGGAAGTTAATCCCACTGAATTGCCATGTAAACAGACACACCCACCCCTTTTTCCCTTCTGGGCAATCTTCTGGGGGCCACATGCCAATGGTAGGTGAGACCAGAGAAAAAAGTGGGAGGAGCAACAAATGTAAATGCTACTTTTGTGTAGAGCGGGCTCATTTCTCCTACATACTCTCTCTCTCTCACCCCTCTCAACCCTCCATCCGGGCAAGCAAGAGGAGGGTTTGAACAAGGACCGCTAGAGTTGGTGTGGCTGAGAATATGGCATAACCTGAGGAGAGTTCTGAGGGCCAGACAGAGAGGCCTGGAGGGCTACATTCAGTTCGCAGGCCTGGGGTCCCCCAACTCGGCTGCAAAGCTTCCTGTGACATCAGGATTTATTTTCCCTTGCCAGCAACCACATCTGTGCCAGGGTATAAAATGTCCCTAAATTGAATTCCTTCCATTTAAGCAGCACCAATGCCCCATTGAAACCTAAACAGCTCATCCCAGCTGGCAAAGGTGCTTACGGATGGAGTAGCCTTTAATGAGGCTACCTGCTGCCACCCCCATTCTTCTTCTGGGAAAATCGCTGCAAGCAAAACCCGCCTGTCTGTGCGATAAGACAATTTTGCTTCTGGGGGCTGAATTCATGGTCCAGTGGCAGACAATGAGATCACACAGACGGCAGAAGCCACAATTCATCTGGGAGGAGAGTTGCAGAAAATGAGGAACTTCCCCTGGGCACCAAATCCATTTCAGC